GCAAGTATTCACAAGTCATGCTACTGCCTTCAGCTTTCATTTCAGGGAAGGCATCTGCTCCAGCAATTTCTACTGATCCTATACCACTGTACTGTTTCAATTAAACTAAGCATTTATATCTAATTAAAAAAATAATGGAAGTTTTGATGAATTATGCCTAAAAACACTACTTGGTATTTTGAGGTTACTGCAGAAAATAAAACAGTTGTGAGTCAATGAAGTGGAAAATTGCCATCTTATAACAGATCCTCTAAGGTGCAAAATGTTCTCTTATTTTCTGTTATCAGTTTGTCTAGTAATTGCTTTTTTGTCCAACCACTTAAATAGGGGGAAATAGACTTACAGTTTGGAGAAAAAGAGACAGCAAAACACACAAAATTAAAGCATTAATGTTTTTTTAATTGTTTTCCTATTTTATAGCATTAAGAAAACATACCGAAAAAGACATTTGGCCTATCAAAACAAAAAAGTTAGAGAGATGAAAAGAAGCTGCATAAGAATATTAAAACAAGCAATAGGTCACATTCATAAACGTGGTCTTTTGGTACTTTAGTTCTTTGGAAAAACAAGCTTTACTACTAATTTAAAGTGTTTTTGCCATAAGGTTGATAATACTCCTAGTAACATTTGTACACAGACTTAATTATAAAACAGCATTGTAAAAAATTACCTGGTACTAAATTACACTTTAAGTCTACATAACAAGGAACACTGTAAAATGACTTTCTGTAACAAACCAACAACTCAGCACAGACTAAGATCACATCCTTCTTCCATGACTAACACACATATACACAGTTGAGTTTTCCTGGGTTTTCTAAAGAGAATTTTAATCTGGATTGTGTTGTGGGTTTTTTGGGTTTTTTTGTTGTTTGGTTTTGTTTTTTTTTAATAACTCTGCATGGGTTTGGATTTTCCTCAATTTTATAAAGACTGAGGAAAGAAAGAGGAAATTCTGTTATTCGCAAAAACATAGCCAAAATTGGATTTCTAAGAATCCTTTATTTTAAGAGACAAATGTGGAAAAGGCCTGCAAAGGGCCACAAATATACTTTAATTGAGATTAACCAAATAGGGGCTGCAGTAACAGTGCCATGCCAAAGCAGAGGAGATCTAGTCAAAGTACCACACAACCAGGTTCTTCTGTAAAATCCTCCCAGGAATCACTCTAGTGAGCACTGAAACCTCTCGCAGCCCCACATCTGTGAAGGAAGGTTTTTAGGTTTCCCCCGCTCTGGGCAACTATGTCAATGCAACAGATCCAGATCTTTTACACTTACACACACTCAATTCACTCAATTCATGTACTGTAATTTCTATAAAGACAGCCATGCCCAAACGCAGACGTTATATAAAAGAGTTCAGTACGATCAACTGCATTATGATACGACCACATGAGATGATTAAAATAACTTTTTCCAGGTGCCAGATATCTGCCATCATGTTTGGATAAAATCAGGAATATCTTACTCCTTGCTAAACTTCTAATCCTGCCTCCTCAGAATATGTCAAAACCGATAACCGTGGCAGACACTTATTTTCTCAGTAGCATCAAAATCTACAAACTGCAGTTCTAGTTGATGTCTCCCTCTCCTGAGCTGCCCTTCCTATCCGTTCATCCCCCACAGTCCTCCTCACCTCCCCCAACATGTTGACACAGGGAAGTTTTAAAAAGAAATCAGAATGAAGTACATTGCACAGAAGGGAGATTTATTTTAGCATAGGCACATAAGAAGAAGAAACACTGAGAAAGCTACTTGAATGCAAGAACTCAATTAACTTAACTTTTATCCAAGTTAAGATATTTACTTCATAAGATCTCAAGTCAAATTTTTTTTTTAAATGCAGAGTTGCAGTACTACAGTGTGTAGAACAAAAAAATTACAGAAACTCAGTAATTTTGCAGGACATTTTATACTGATCTGTGGTGCCCAAGGACATTACCGCAAAAAGTGGTCTATTTAAGAATACGTGGCATAATGCAACCCAGCTCCTTCAAAACTATCCACACGGGTATTACTTCTTTGAAAGGAAGTATTGTCTCATCAGAATGGAGCATCTTCCTAACCTTTCACCTTGACTTCTCTCACTATAAAATATATGCAGAATATATTTTCTGAAGTGTTTTTTCTGTCTCTTTTTATTCCATAGGATCAATAAAATGCTTACTGTATTACCAACAAAACAATCCATGGACAAAATTCTGACAGAAAACAACCTGGTATAAAATTCAGACCATGAGAAAAATCAAGGGGGGGCGGGCGTGAAATGTAAATGTGTTTCTTTATGGAAAAAAAATAATAATTGTAGAATGAATATCATATAATGAACGATCCATGAAAATAATGCTCAATCACCAACCCCATGCAACAGAGAAAAAACAGAGTAGCAGAGACTAAAAAGTACTACACGAGGATGCCAAACCATACTCAAAGCAACCTAAGATCTCTCACAACCCTCCTAGAAGTTTTCTATTTATAAAACAAAAAAGATACAGGACACCTATTTTAACCACATAAATTTGCACTGCACCACACAAAATAATTTCAGATATGCTGCCTAAATTTCTAAGACTGTGCCTGTCTGCTCTTAAACCTGCCTTATATAATGACGTTCATGTGATTCAGCACTCTCCATCAATTTCTCAGTGCTCTCACACAGCTCTCCTCACAGCTCATAAATGCCACCCTTTCTTCACACCCTTCTCTCTCTTTCTTTCCCATCACAAATTCCAACAACTTAATTGATGAAATCTAACTCTGTGAGAATTTAAAAAAAACCTTTAAAAAGCCCCACAACAGTAAAACAAGGAAATATGACTGGTTTTTTTTCCAGTCATCTATATAGATAGCTGAATATAATATTAATTAGAAAGTATAATAAAATAGCATATAAGGGTGAAAAAAAAATACAGTACAAACTTACTATTCTGGATTAAATGGTTTCTTATAGATACAAGGCATTAAGGATAACAAGAAATCGTCTCAGTTGCAAGGGGGAAGGGGGCAGGAGGGGAAGATTTTTCTCTAGACCCAATCCAGGCAGTTTCCACTGCCAGCCCAGACTAGCTTAATCATCCATTAATAAGATGAAATATGATTCACCTGCAATTTTTTATCAGTGTCAAAAAAAAAAAGTTTTTAACTGAAAAATGTTTTTGGACTCTTTCAGGCTCTGTTTCATACATTGAAAAATTAATAAAATCTCCAAAATTATTAAGGAAAAGACTTCACTTTGGGATACATATTTATAACGAAGCTCATAATGAGATCAAGAAGCACAGTATTTTTCCCAGGTGAGGCCAACCTTATTCAACCAATAAGAAAAATTTATTGGGGTTTTGTGGTTTTTTTCCTTTGTAGAAGTCAAAATGCTCTTTTGTCAGCACCAAACAATGTTCTCATGCTTGCAAGTGGAATTGTTTGAAATTATATCAAGAGATTTACAAAGTAGAGATTCACACAAAAAACTGGTATGTTTGAATATCAGCACATTGCATACAAACAGAAATTGCTTTCAATAAGTGAAACACAGATCACACATTTTACTGCCATCCATGCTCTTGAATGGAACTGCAAAACAATCAGAATTTGCATTTATTTTAATTGCAGATACTATTTGGAGCCATGCTGAAACATTATGCCTATGGAAATACATATAAACACTTACACTTCACCCTGAACTCTCAGAAAATGCAGGGAAAAGAAATTACTAATCACCTATCACTTCTAATAATGAGCCATTAGAACAAAAGCCAGAAAAAATAATTCAAGTCACAAACTATTCTGAAATGCTTAAGAAGGAGAGTACAAACAACAGAAGCTACTACAACAGACGTTTAATTAATTGATCAATTTCAACACTCATTTACAGCAATGTTTAAACTAACTCCCCAAGAGCATTTAAGAAGTAAGAATTGATGAACGCTCTTATTGTTGTAATTTTTGAACTACAAGGGTTATTTCTGAAAAAACTACTTCAGCTCCAAAATAGCTTGGTACAAAAATGGCACTTGTACAACTTCCACTAGACCAGGGTCTTTCCAAGACAGTACACACAATTTTCCTAGGACCCTCCAATTAAACCTCTCCTTCCCCGTGCCAGAAGACACTTATTTCAGTTCATTCTCTCCCCTTTATTTACCCTGCCTTTCTCCCTTTCCACCCTCACAAATGGGAGAAGTTGTATGTCTCCGGATTTTTCAGAAAGTACTTACATGACTATAAAATGCAAAGAACACAGAAAATGTTTTTTCTCTAATGCTGGTGTGTGCATGGTATTGATGGCTTTCCAGAGTGAGCCTTCCCTATTTGAGACATACACTTACGCACACTTTTAAGGGAAACAGCTGCTTATGACCACACAAATATCGACCGTGTTATATGCCCTGTCTAAATCATGAGCTTCAAATTATTTCATGTGACAATATAACAATGCTAACTATTTTTCACAATATTGTTATAAGAAACTTTTCAATTTTATTCATTTTAAGTCATGATACCTCTACATGGACTTAGAGATAAGACAGCTATACTAACATGACTTGTTTCCTGCCTTACATAAGAATGTTATCCAAAAGATGGAAAGGGACTTTAAACAATTTGCCATCTGTGGAACTAAAAACCAACCTGAGAACATTTTTCCTAGTACAAGTCCAACGCCTGCGCAGGAGATTTCAACTGGTTATGATTCTCTCAATACTCATACATATCCAAATATCCATGCTTACGTAAGAAAAACTGAAGTAATAGATAGTAATAATAAAAAAATCTAAAATGTGTCAAGTCAATTGATCCACCGTTTCAATGGATGGAGTGAATGTTTATTTCCACTTAGATTTATAACAAATTGCATATAGGTGAACAATTCCATTAAGACCCAATTAATATGCCAAAAAGTAATTGCAAGTAGATACTCCAAACATATTGAAATTATTCTACTCTAGAAATTCAATCATTTACAACAATACATTAAAAAAAACAAAACCAGCATATACAGACCTTCCAGTAGTCAGATTGTAAACTGTAGTACCTCTGGTATGCAGATAATGCTGTAGGAAAGAAAAAGGAATGTTGAATTTCTTTTGTTGCATTTTCTTTGAAGAAAAAGATAGAAAACCTTTAACAGTCAGAATACACAACATTAAAATGATAAATGGTTTAATAAAAGTAACACTGCCACGATAAGTACACTGTTGTGGGTAATGCATTCCTTAAGATTATAATTTTGTTTTATGAAATGTCAACACAAAAGTATATTTATTATTAATCTTACAAATGTAAATCAAGCCATATTTTAAAGAAAGCCTATAACAAAAGAAATAATTTGAAATTTGGGGATTTTCACCCTGGACAAAGCTGTTGTAAGATTTAAAAATTTAATCATGTAGCTCATTTACCATGCTCCCTGATGTCCTGTAATTTCTAAAGAACTGGTGCAGAGGGACATACAAAGAGAAATCAATTTCACATGCCCTTTCATTCAGTAGCTACAGAAACAAAAGCAAAAAAAGCTTACATTTTATTCAACATCTATGACCAAGACTAACCTGGAAAACAGTACTACGTTTTCTGGTCAGTAGAATATTAGCTCTAGGTAGTAACAAATTCCTCAAATCACCATTCCTGCATTTCTCTTCCCCACTAAAAATTTGGTTGATTCATCTCGCCCTTCAGCTAAGAGAAGAGGCCACATAAGACTTGAACTCAAACATTCTTGCAAGAACATTGCCACTAGGCACCATCCAAAAATCAAGAATTTTAAATAATGATTCACTGCAGCAACATCAAGATTTTGATTTTTCAAGTGTTTGCTTCTTAAGATTTAGGAATGTATTCTACACATGTGTTTTCCAAACAACAAAACAGACAAGAGACAACCTCTGCTTTGAAAAACTACAAATACTAAACAGATTAAGACGGTAAGAACAATATGTATTTTATGTAACCATTCATTTCTTGCAAGTACCATGGAGAAACAATGTCCCTAAATTTTATCACCCTTCAATGCCTGTCTTGCATATTCATTTCCACAACTTGACAAAAGTCGTTAAGATTAAGTGAAATAAGAACAAGATACACATAATGACAAGGCACACAGAGCTTTCTCCTCTTAAGAGTATACCTTTGCGCTCATCTGTCTAGGGAGACTCACCACCTTATACTTTTAAATGCCTAACTCACACACGCTGAATCGTGCCCATAAGGTGCCCCTCACCACTGGAACTACTTGTGAAGACAGCTTCTAAACTGTGATTTATTTAGAAAAGAAAAAAAACCTGGAATACTCATCATCCTTACACTATCAACATGTAGTATGTTTACATGCAACTCAGATTAATAAAAATCACTTAACAATCTAGTCAATTAGGTTCTTTCACAACTTAAGAATACAGTTCCCCCTCCAAAAAATGGTACAAACTGAAAGATACGACTTCAGTCTAACAATGTAAGTTTAAGAATGTTAAGATTAAGCATATTTCAGTCACATTCTGTAATTATGTTATAAAGGATGTTCACGATAACACAAAATAACCTTCTACCACAAATGATGCCTCCTAGCTCACCTTCTCCCAGGTATCATTAATGACTTTTCAACAGAAAGGCATAATTAACTTTTGAACGTGTGAATGACTTTGCTTTCCCAAACCAAAACAAGCAGTACCTATCTCAATTTTAAGGGTTAAAGCATATTTCAAATACTTAAGTCAACAGCACCATATTATGCAGGATTCAGAAAATTGAGACCTTCTTGTCTTTTTTTTTTTTTTTTTTTTTTTTTTTTTTTTAAAAAAAAAAAAAAAAAAAAAAAAAAAAAAAAAAAAAAAAAAAGTTCTAGGAAAAATATTAAACCC